GCCATTGGCAGTGATTGGGCTGTTTGGGTTACTGGGGAAATTTTGATGTTACCAATTTGTGGGATGGACCAAAGGTTTTATACACATCTGGAGGGCTGAGGTTGAAGCAGCCTGACTGGACGTCATGATCCCACCCATGTCAAATGGTAACCAGTACCTGCCAAGATTGCAGCTTCGGAAGCTCCTGCATCTCTCCTTCCGTCGCTGCCCTCTGCTTGTACCTGTGCAACAATGTGTTATGTAAAGCATGTGCCATGGCATAGACAGCATTATAGACACTGTAGCTGTGGGCAGTCATGCTCATCTCAAAATCAGATGAAGGGAGCTCCTCCAGCTTCTCCTCTCCAGTGCAGCTTCCATTGGGCTTCTCCTCCATATTGGAGTTTGGAAATAAGCAGCGAAAAACCAGGGTCCAGAACTGCTTGAGAAAACCATCTCCATTTTCCTCAAAGGGGTTTAGGGGCTGAAGAAAGTCTCTGAATCTTTGCACCTCATTGGAATGAACTGTAAAGGAGATGGAACCTTGGAAGACTTGCATATCCCATCTTTTTGGATAAGTGGTTCCTATGAAATCAAGCTGAGCAGTCAGAATCCACACTTTCCTCATAGGTGTGCCAGCCACATTTCCCCCTTCCCATTGTGCTAACATTGGTAGTAGGGCAAGTATGGATGCAGAATTCCCGCAGAAAATAACAGCACTGGCTTTGCTCTTCACAATCACTTGATTCACTTGGAGATACAGTAAAGGAAGGTTATTATACGCATAACTAGCTTGGGGAGTTCTCTCTAAGAAGGCCAAGCAAATATGTTTACTGGAAAGCAGAGGTTGCAGCGTCTGCATACACTTCTCTCCACTCTCATTATTGCCTGCAAGTAATCCTACCCATGTCCATGAAAAGTGGAGAAGTAACTCAACAATCCCAGTGTACTGATGGTCATCGTTGGGCACCATCCGGTAGAAGGAAGTGGGTCGGCTTTGATCCGTGTTCTCTGGAGCAAAGGAGCCATAACTGAGCTGAAAGGAAAGGAAATGAAGAAATATAAATTGGTTCATGAATGTAGTAGAAGGAACTCATATGTGGTTTCTGTTCTGTCAAAAAGACTGGGAGAGAAAACTGCATTTCCCGAGATAGGAACCAGGAGAGGCTGTGTTGCAACCTCCAAGAAAGAGTCATAGACACTGGATTGTAGAAGGATGAGTAACCTCACACCCAGGGCCTTATGCTGCCCTCGGAATACTCTACAGAGGATGTCCCCAGGACACATGTCTCACTCATCCTGTGTCACACAGTTCATATACTTGGCTAATATGTGTCTCTGAACAGTAATACTGCCTCTTGTTTGCCTGGATAGAGAGGGGTTGATTTGGAAACATCTGGTGTTTGGATGGCTGAACTACAGCCTACAGAACTAGAGTCATGTGTCTTGTCTCAACCACCACTGATATGTGACCCCTATCAGAGCGGCCTGATATGGTTGTTCACTTGGTACAATGGTAGGGACGGCACTCGCGGAGGCTATTCTCTCTTTCCTCCTCATGGAAGGTGTAAAAGGTGACATCAGAGACAACCCTATGGTCACAGCAACCCATTTATTGCTCACCAGGTACCAATCATGTTTTCTTTCAGATACAAGGCAAACTTAGGGGGAAAAATTATTTTAGCTATTTATATTTTTTTTATATCTAAATCCTTTAAATATAGAAATCCTCCTAAAGTGACTTACCATTAAATTATGTGTTTAAAACCCAGTGCTATTTTTCAAGAAAAAGAGGTGCTGGAGCCCACCATGAACTTCTCTCTTGTTCTCATAGAATGGCATTGGTGCCCAACTGAGAGGTGCCTGCACTGAGCTATGGCGAACACTGGGTGAACACTGGTTAAAGGTAAAGGGTAAAGGGACCCCTGACCATTAGGTCCAGTCATGAACAACTCTGGGGTTGCGGTGCTCATCTCGCTTTATTGGCCGAGGGAGCCAGCATACAGCTTCTGGGTCATGTCGCCAGCAGGACTAAGCCGCTTCTGGCGAACCAGAGCAGCACACGGAAACTCCAAACACTGGTTACGAAACATAATAATAAGTGAGCTGTGAAGTGCCCAAATCAGTATTTTACCTGGGGAATCTTGTAGACACCCAATATGGTTGCCATGTAGAGGGATGTTCCAAAGTCAAGTCCCCCAATGACAGTCATCAAATTTCTTTCAATGCCACACCTGTAGTTGGGTACATATCTGGGATGCATGGAAATAAGGTCCAGAATGGCCCGATAGGTCATCCTATTATTGGTGTAACTGTCATAGATGTGGAATCCCAAGGTGATATTAGGCAAGATCGTGGGATTCTCATTGATCTCCTTGACCGCAAACACCAAAGCCAGAATATGCTGATAGTTCTTAGGCATAATACTGCAATGGATAATTTTATGATGTATAACTGAGAGATATGCAAGCCACTGGAAAATTGCTCCTAGGCTAGAATGTTGCTGCTCCTCCAATACTATCTGCTGCTTAGGATGCCCCCCCCCCTTTACTCCTTAAGAGCTTTGTATCTATCTTAGCAGAGAACTCATTTGTTGGTTCAGATCTATTTGAAAATGAGGAGCGAGAGGTAGGATAGTAATCAACATTTCTAGATCCGTGAAACATTTTCAACTTGACATATTTTCAACTTGGGGTGTCATGTGTGTGTGTCATAGCCCGGCTTAGAGGAGAACAAATGGTGCTCTAAAAACCCTACTTCAAAGGCAAGATGAGCTTTTAAGATTCCTCACCAGAAACTCTTCTCAGGCTTTGTTTAATATTTAGACCAGGGAAGGGTTCATACCTTTTCTCTAACATCCTACCCCTTGGTAACCTATTCCTATTCTGTAGTGTGGCTGCTCTTACAAGACTATCTGCTGAACTGGCTGCCACTCTTTACCTCATCAGAGCTATGCATAATTTGTTTACATTTGTAAGATTCCTCATCCAAAACTCTTCTCAGGATTGGTTTAATGTTCAGACCTGAGAAGGGCACCTCACTTTACCTCCAACATGCTCCCTTACCTCTGAAATCAGGATGTAGCTGTGGAGAGCATGGAAACAGGTGGAATTTCTATTTCTCTCCCCATCCCTCACCATAACACACTCTGGGGTCAAAGCAAGCCTTCCTCAAGAACTCAAAGTGAAGCCAGAGAGCTATCTTACCACTTGCACTTTGGGGAGTATCCTGTCACCTCCCCCATCCCCTATATCTCCCCTCCTGCCTGGTGATGGGTACTGGAAGCTTTCAACAGTTGGATGTTGGTAACTTCTCCGAGGGTGCTTCCAATGTTTTGGGTTGTGATTCTAACACCTATGAGGAAATTCAGTGCGAAGTGTGGGACAATGCAAGCTTCACACATCATTGAAGCTCCACACAAACAAATCAGAATGAGTGCTCATTAAAAAGCCAACACTGTCTAATATGGATGAATGCTAAATAAACAAGTCATCTGAAAGTGACTCTGGTGTTTGCACCTGTTTGGGGACTCTGTTTCTCTTACTTCTTTGGCTCTTCAGTGAATTCAGAAGCCCCTCATTTCAAGAAGAGCTTCCACATCGGAAGCTCAGATTTCCAAGTAAGACTAAACCTTTGCTCCTCTAATGAAGCACTGCTTGGAAGAGAATTGTGAAGGGGAGGGAGGAAATGGGGGATCAGAACTGATCAGCAAGTCCAAGCTATCTCATCTTCCTAGCAGTTTCAGATCACCATTTCCCTTCTCTAAGCTAACTCCTCAGTTTAGCACCTAACTCTTATTCCTACCTCCGCGGGGGCAGGGGGTAATCCCACTGAAATCATGGGGGCTTGTTTCTGAGTAAGCAATATTAGGAATGGGGAATCAGAATCAAATGATTCCTTGAGGTACTTGATTACTACTTACAAGAAAGTATGGACTTGATGGGTGATAAGGATTTCTCTGAAGTCTTCTTTAGCAAAAGAGCCAAAGATATGAGAAGCAAGTCCACCAATTATAAAGTCACCAGGCTGATAGAATTCATGTGGAATCCTGAGTGAATGATTGGTGGTGCAACGGTTGTTATGTTTGCACATCGCACGTGGCAGAAAGGAGAGAATGGACACAATAATCAGCAGCATACTGAGGCAAATGTTCCTTCTAGTCACGCACCTTTACTTCCATCGAGAATATGCCTGTTAGCTTCAGAACCAACCTCACTAGAATCTTTTGCCCTCACACAAATGCCATGTCATCCCACCAATCCACAGATTAAAAGACTGTCTTACAACTCTCCAAGTGAAAAGTGGAAATCCTGCCTCTTCCTCTGCCCTCCCCATTGTTTGAAATGGCAGGAAGGGATTCTTTAATACTAGTCTTTGACTAGTATTCTCTCGAAATCTATGAGGACCTTATCCAAAGGAGATTCAATGATGACAAGTGTGATAATTACCAATGAGATAATAACTAGGTGCTGTTATTGCTGGGAAGATCAGAAGAATGGAGAAAAACATGTTTTGTGATGTTCAATGAAAAGCCATCTCTGTCAATTCCTGAGACAACACACAAAGGGCACACAAAGTAAACTACAAAGAATAAGAAAAGAACAGACATGAGCCTGTCTTTTTTCAGAGAAGGAATGCTTCACTTGACCATAGAATATGCATTATCTGTCCTCTAAACCTTCCTGCATGAACCTCCCTTTTTTAGCTTACTGATTATTACACTAAAAAAACTAGGGGAAGGCAGGTTCGGTTCTGAAAGTAGGAAGGTTTATAGAGGGGCGGATCTACTATGAAATGAATGGGTACTATGTGGCACCTGTAGCAGTGCCAATTTGTAGTTTCAGTACATGGATAATTCAGTACATGGATAATTATTAGGCTTTAATGGTCTAATATCTCAAAGAGGACACTCTGACAACAAAAATGGTACAAAGCAATTAATACAAAATAACTGTATGATGGAGAGCATATGAATATTAACTATAGAGTAGTCTGAAAGAAAAGACTGGCAGTGGGATATACTACTGTTTCCTCCTTATTAACTGCTGTTTGTCATTTAGATCAGGTCTCAACACAATGATGTAGCATTTGGGGGAAAAGATGAAACCTAATAAGCCAGCACTGGAGGCCAAGATGGAGAAGATCTCCACAGCCACCATGTATTTCCCCTTGGTGCTCAGGTACACTGGAACAAAAGAGACCCAAACACTACAAAACAACAACATGCTAAAGGTGATAAATTTGGCCTCATTAAAGCTGTCAGGCAGTTTCCGGGCTAAAAATGCTACAACAAAACTGACAAAGGCAAGGAAGCCCATGTAGCCCAGGACACAGTAAAACATGGCAACCGACCCTTCATTACAGTCTAGTATTATTTTGTCCGTCACAGAGTGCGAGTCAGAATTGGGGAAAGGTGGAGATGTTCCCAACCACACAGCACAAATACCAATTTGGATAAGGGAACAAGAAAGCACAGTGGTGCTTGCCAGTCTTGTCCCCACCCATTTCCTCATTCTGGATCCTGGTTTGGTGGCCCCAAAGGCCAGAACCACAGTGATGGTTTTGGCCAACACACAAGAAACAGTCACTGTGAAAATGATACCAAAAGTCACTTGTCGAAGAAGGCAAGTCACTGTGCTCGGGGGGCTGATGAAGATGAAGGGGCAGAGAAAGCAGAGCAGAAGAGAGGTGAGGAGCATGTAAGTCAGATTCCGGTTGTTGGCCCTGACGAGTGGTGTGTTCTGATGTGTAATGAAAATGACTAGGACCAATATTGTGAGCAGTGAGAAAAAGGCAGAGAGGAAAGCTAAGCTCATCCCCAAAGGTTCTTCCAACATCAAGAAGCTTATTGTCTTTGGAATACATTGTGTTTGGTCTTTGTTTGGATAGTGACCTTCTGAGCATCCGACACAGTCATTCATGTCTGGGGGGAAACAAAGAATTGAATGTTAGTCAAGGGTATTTGAGGGCAGCTACTTGTACAGTGGGGCGTGGGCTGTGGGTTAAACCACAGAGCCTAGGACTTGCCAATCAGAAGGTCGGCAGTTCGAATCCCTGCGATGGGGTGAGCTCCCATTGCTCAGTCCCTGCTCCTGCCAACCTAGCAGTTCAAAAGCACGTCAAAGTGCAAGTAGATGAACAGGTACCACTCCGGTGGGAAGGTAAATGGCGTTTCCGTGTGCTGCTCTGGTTCGCCAGAAGCGGCTTAGTCATGCTGGCCACATGACCCGGAAACTGTACGCCGGCTCCTTCGGCCAGTAAAGCGAGATGAGCACCACAACCCCAGAGTCGGCCACGACTGGACCTAATGGTCAGGGGTCCCTTTACCTTTACCTTTATTTGTGCAGTACCTCAACTTGGATGTATGAGAGGAGTCCCTAGCCAGACACAGGAGTGGTTGGTGTGTGAGGTTGGTGGTCTGCAGCCCCCTCCTGACAGCAGAGTATTGCTACTTCTTACTTTCATGAGCACTGAGAACATGTCCTGGAGGGGTGGTTGGATCAGGATGAAAGGTGGAAGAGGTTTGAGGAGTTGCTAGCTGAAAATGCCAGGGAGGGATCCAGTGAGCTGGGTCAGGGCCTCCTGAGACATGTCTGTCTGAGGGGGATATCGCAGGTGAGGGGTCTGTATATGAGAGCTACTCATACCTCAGGCAGTAAGGGACTCATCTATTAAGGATAAGGGTTTAATTTCCTGAAATGGGAATGTTTGCTTATGTTGAATTGTTGTTTGTGTGTTTTCCTTTAGCAGTAGCTCTCTCGTTTGATTGGCTGACTGTGAATCACATGAGAGAGGCATTCCATTCTTTTGTGTCTGCTATTCGAGTAACTGTCATTTTTTCACCTGTGTGTGTGTTGTGTGTGTGTGTGTGTGTGTGTGTGAGAGAGAGAGAGAGAGAGAGAGAGAGAGAGAGAGAGAGAGAATGGCTGCTGAAAAGAGCATCCCAAGATGTTAATATGGAGAAACTTTTACTCACTATAAGGAACAAAGTGAAATAAGTATGAGATTGTAGATATGTTCTTCTCAGTTATATGATTAGGAAAGTCAAACTGTTTTGAACATAAAGAGTCTGGACAGTGCATATCATCACAATTTATTCTATTTTTATAATATATACACAACCTGGCTGTACTAGAGTTGTTCCTCAGGAGTGAGCTGCATGGGAAGGCAGTGCCCTAGAGCTCCCTTCCTGACTGCAAGATCTCTGCTGCTTAGCTGGATGGTGAGGGGGCAGGGCAGGCAAGTGGGAGACCTGTGCTCTACAGGTGCATTGGCAGAACAAATCTCCACTCCCCCCCCATCGCTGTCCAGGCAATCTAGTGCTCGGGAACCTCTTGCCCATCATGCTTTTTAGGACAAATCACACCTAGGATGTTAGGAGTAGGGCAGGTAAAATTGCACTTTACAAGCCCTGGTGATTAGTTGATGGTTGGGTCTGTTTCCAAGTGCTGTGTCCCTTTGCAAACCTGATCACTGGCTGATTGTGGTGAGGAACTGCACAGCTGAGAGCAAAAAAATACAACATGTATATAGTGCCTCATACCATTCTGAAATGAAATCTTGCCTTCAGGACACTGGGCACAGTCATAGCAGCAGAATTTCTCCCCCTCCTTCTTCTTTCTGCTGGAACCAGGAGGGCATTTTTTGTTGCAAAGGGAGGGGGGTGGCACCTGCCAAATTGAATTAAGTATGAAAGCAGTTAAGTGCACAGAAAATGTTTGGCTTTTGGAAAAGCTGAATTCCATTTTCTGGGCTACAAGCAATTAAGTCAATTGGAGAAATGGCACACTGAATAGTAAGAATATTTCGAATGCAAATGCATTTTACTGCAGACTAAGAGCCATAATGGCATCTGTTACTAATGTGACTAAATATGTCCTTATATCCCAGTTGGAGTTATGGCCATTTCAAGAAGAATATTTTTTGAAAGGGAGAGATTAGATATGAATAGTAACTTTAATGACCAAATTGCTTGGAAAAATACATTTTTGCAAACTTACCAGAGTTTTAACCTGCAGTTAAAAGGAACAGTTTTAGATTACTAAGTGTAATTTAAGGAAGAAGCTGTACGATTTCTGATCCATTCATGTTTTAACATTATTATCCCTAACCAGCCAAGTGTTTTCTCCTGAAGTCGGCCTGTCTATCGGCAGGCCCAGCTCCCCTTGCCTGCTTTCTAAAGAGGTTTTCTGCAGGTTAGACTTAGATACCACTCAGCTCATCTCCAAAACTTTAAATAATTCTCTTTAGCACTGGAACAAAAGATAACGTCCCTATCTAGTTGACAGCTTCACTACATTTGTGCAAGCCTGCAAAAGTATAGAGGATCCAAACCCCGACTATGCCACAATGACATTAATTTAGGACACTTCTAGGTTGTGATTTGCTGAAATATTCCCCACCTGTTGGAAACTCCTGTGCCACACCATTTTGTCTTCATTGATGGAAAACTCTTTTCCTGGGGGAGCATCCAAATTCATCCATCCAACCTTCATTCTGATGAAGGAGTTATTTGGGAAAGTGACCAAGTTGGTAATATCAAATCCAGTTTCTAATTCCTGATTCTCATTGAAAGACACTTCTTCTCCCCCACTGTTGTTAAATGAGATGCTCCTAAGAAATGGGTGGAGCTGCATTGAAATGCAACCAAAAGGACAATTGTTTAAAACTCAAATTAATTTTATGCATTGTTTTTTAGATTATAATTGCCTCTAAACTGCGGTGTGTAGAATTTCATAAAATATAATACGTAGCAATAATGGCCATGTCTTCACCTGTCTTGCACCTAGTGGTCACCCAGCCATGGAAAGCACCAAGAAACCAAAGGGTTCCTTGGATGTCAGTGAATGGAAGGGCAGACAAGCTATTGGATATAAGAAGGATCCTTTTATTATTTGGTAACTGAATCTAATAATTAATAGGATGTATAAAGCTAATGTGGGACGCGAGTGGCGCTGTAGTCTAAACCACAGAGCCTAGGACGTGCCGATCAGAAGGTCGGCGGTTCGAATCCCCGCAACAGGGTGAGCTCCCGTTGCTCGGTCCCTGCTCCTGCCAACCTAGCAGTTCGAAAGCATGTCAAAGTGCAAGTAGATAAATAGGTACCTCTCCGGCAGGAAAGTAAACAGTGTTTCTGTGCGCTGCTCTGCTTTCAGCAGATGCGGCTTAGTCATGCTGGCCACACGACCTGGAAAAACTGTCTGCGTACAAATGTCAGCTCCCTCGGCCAGTAAAGTGAGATGAGCGCCGCAACCACAGAGTCGTTCGCGACTGGACTTAACTGTCAGGGGTCCTTTACCTTTTTATAAAACTAATAATATAGAATATTATTAGGGACGCGGATGAATATTAGGGACGAATATTAATAGGGACGCGGGTGGCGCTGTGGGTAAAACCTCAGCGCCTAGGACTTGCCGATCGCATGGTCGTCGGTTCGAATCCCCGCGGCGGGGTGCGCTCCCGTCGTTCGGTCCCAGCGTCTGCCAACCTAGCAGTTACCCGGGTGCAAGTAGATAAATAGGGACCGCTTACCAGCGGGAAGGTAAACGGCGTTCCGTGTGCTGCGCTGGCTCGCCAGATGCAGCTTGTCACGCTGGCCACGTGACCTGGAAGTGTCTGCGGACAGCGCTGGCTTCCGGCCTATAGAGTGAGATGAGCGCACAACCCTAGAGTCTGGCAAGACTGGCTCGTACGGGCAGGGGAACGTTTACCTTTTTAATATAGAATATAACAGCTAAATAACATATATAGTTTGTAGAATAACATCCAAGATAAGCAAAGTAGCTATGATTTACAGAACAATGCTCAGCAATTCGCCTCTTCGGCTTCTGAAAAAGAGCTGTCCCACACAGCTTCCTGATAAGGCCCGACGTGTCCCACTGCTGCTGGGATCTCTGACAGCTGGCAACCTGACAGAACGGTTTCCTGATCAAGTCCAAAACACTGGTATCTTCCTGGGATGGTTCAAAGGTGAGATTGTCCCATCTTATCCAACACAGCCCTTTCTACTCTTCTAGGGCTGTGGCAATGCAAAGACCAGCAGATGTTCCCATCCTTCCTTATCTCTATGGCTGGCTCAGAGCAAGGTTACTGTGGTACCTCTGGTTATGAACTTCATTCGTTCTGGAGGTCCGTTCTTAAGCTGAAACCATTCTTATCCCGTTCTTATCCTTTCACTAATGGGGCCGCCAGAGGTGCACAATTTCCATTCGCATCCTGGGGCAAAGTTCACAAACAGGAGCAGCTACTTCTGGGTTAGCGGAGTTCATAACCTAAAGCGTTCGTAACCAAAAGCATTCGTAACAGATGTACCACTGTGCAACCACCTCCCACTTCTCACCATTCCAGTCTTTCCCCCTGAATCTGTACATGGCATCCTGTAGAGCAGGCGACACAATATAAATAGCATATACTGTACAACAGAACCAACATTTTTAAAACACCCTGGCAAATCTGGAAGTATGCTTGGTGATCTGATAAAATTGGACTTAATTTGGACTTTAAAGTATTTAACTCATGTGCAACTACACATTCTTCTTTAAAATATTTTTATTAAGCAGTTTCAACATAAATTATCAAACCATATAATCACATACATTATTTCCCCCCTTTTTTCCCACCCCCTTCCATCTCTCCCCCCGCCCCAACCAGGGACTTCCCTCACCTCCTCTCTCTGATTTCTCTACACATATTATTCTCTGCATGTTATAAAATTATACATATCCTTGCCTTATCGATCTATCATGTTATCAACCAATAAATTTGTGTATGTTTATTCAAAACCTGCCAAGGGATCCAGTTCATTTTGTTATCTTTTTAGATAATTTGTAAAAAGTTCCCATCCTTCCTTAAAGTCGCATTTAGCCAACTCTGCATAGCTCATCAATTTTTTTCCCCTTTTCTTTCATTGGGATTTCCTCAT